ATCAGAGAGCGGCGTTGAAGCTACCAACCTAAGAAAGTAGAATTACCCTACTTCAATAGCCAGCTGATTTAAATCTTAGCGGAATGCAAGTAGCTCTTTTCTGGCTAAAACTTTCAGGGATTAGTGCTTGTGTTTTATATTTCTCTGTCTGATTTGTGTCATAGTATTTGGTGATTTCGTGAGATCAGTTAAGCAAAATCTTGTGTTTAGTGTTACATCCCCCACCCCTCTATTTTTTTTTCAAAATGTCTGGTTCCTTCCTAGTTCCTTCACCAGGCTAGTCTGGAGTAAACACTTCAACAAAGTGAAAATGTAAGGACTTGGAAGGCCTTTTCAAGACTATAAATCAATGTCCACACAGCAAACTCCACATAGAGTATAAATACTGAAGCCCAAAATATTGTTTGAGACAGTAGAGAAAAGTGTTATCATACTTAAGATCAAATGTTTCAGTACAGCTGATGATGAGAGGAGAACAGACAATTTATTCATGACAATGAAATTGCAATCCTCACTCAACAGAATATAAAATATGAAGTTAGTGGACTTTCGAAGGTTTTTATGATAGGTCATGTGCTTTGAAGACCTTAAAAATAAAAAGCAATAACCTCAAGAATTTTCAATGGGTTTTCAAGAAAGTACAAACCCTGAGATAGACGCTGGAAGAGATAAAAAAAAAAAAAAAAAAAAAAAAAAAAAAAATTGAGAGAAGCGAAATTCAGTCACTTGAAGATTCGAATAAAAAGGATAGATACCAAGGTGCGTTCAAAAAGTAAAGCGTGCTTAGAAGTGGAAATGAAAGCGGCAGAAATTGCAAGAATACTTTTTGAACACACCTGGTATTTTACCTTCAGCTGCTGCAGTCTCTTATACAGGGGTGTTTTCCTCCAATCAGGATCATTTTTAGCATCGTCCGTGTCTTCGTCTTCTGATGAGGACAATTCCACAAATCGGGTTGGGTGAATCTCTGTTGGTTCATTCAGGGCTGATGTTGACCTTGATCTTCTTTTATTCAACTGTGAAGATAATAGAAATAAATTATTTGAGGATGATTTGACACTAAAATGATATTATGATTATGGCGCTGCTGTAAGATCGAATTACCTTGAAAGCAGGTCTTTCAATAGTAAATCGTGTAGTAATATAGGTTAGGTCGGCCTCCTGTGGTGTAGTGGTTGTAGCGCTAGCTCTATGATCGGGAGGTCCCAGGTTCGATTCCCGGCCAGGCGACCCGAGTTTGATGGTCTCAAACAATGGTTGCCTGGGACTGGTTTTTCAGTAGGGACGGAGGGGGGCCAGGACTAAAAAGCGCGGAATTAGCCCTTGTGGGCTACTTAAAGTGGTAAAAAAAAAAAAAAAAATATTAGCGAGAAAAGTGATTTCAGCAGAGGAATTTTATCCTCAGCGAGTGTTTTCAAGATGCTTCTTTTAAAGAGAAATTGAAAGCCATACCCTTTTGATCACATTATATGTGCAAAAAACATATTTCTAATTCAAGTTCTGATTTTCTCCACACTTAAACCGAAACAAATCTACCTACAAAAAAGGTGACACCACAATTTCAACGTATAAAATTCACCAGGAAGGCAATTATTTTAAGGTTGGTCAATTGGGATTCTTCGACATGGAAGAATGCCTTGAGAGCATGATTTTTCAAACTTACAGAGGTTGGCAAAAAGCTACTTTCTTAATCATATTTCTTCATAAATTAACATTCGGTAAACTGGAGGCCAAAATTTGATAAATTAGGTTTTAGCGGGCCAGTGAATGATTTTCATTATAACAAGGGTGGAGGATAGCTAATCATTAATTAACTTTGACCTTCGTTACATGGTAAAGAAATAACCACTATGAATTTGCAAAAGTTCCAAAAGAGTTCGAAGAAATTTCCAAATAATGATGCTGGAATATGCTTCAGATAAAATGGCAGTTGTTAGTTTTCGAAGGGTGACACCACTGCCGTGAGCAGATTGGCAATTTGGTTGCGTAGTAACGTTCAAAGGTAAACAACTGTCAACTTATGTAACACAAGTTCTGGCTAATTTTTCATTCATTTAGGAAATACGTGGGATGACTGCAGATCACCAGCTCAATTTAGAAAATATTCCCAAAACTGTTTGTCATTACTAAGAATAAAAAATTACCACTTGAACTGTTGTTTCATTTCACAACTGGATTGCAATTAGCAATAGGGAACTACAGTTTTTGGCTCATATATTAAAACGCCCATCTGCGTGGGGAAACCTGTTGGCACATGTGTTGTCTGTAAAATGAACTAGAAATTGTAGTTCTTAATTGCAAAATGTAGTCCAAGTAATAACTTACACTTTTATTCTTGGACGTCTGGGCTTGTTCCAGCTCGGTGAGTCTCAAGCGCAACTTGGCATTTTCGTCTATTTGCTTCTCCAAATCTTGGCGTAGCTGCCGTAATTTGCTTAGCTGTTCGTTTTGAATCTGCAGGCGTTGTGTTAATTGCACATCGAGTCCGGTGTTTTCCGCCGCGGTATTGATACTTATGTCCTTATCGGACAGTTGGTACAGGAGCAACAAAATCTGCAAAGATCCAAGAAGAAATTAGAATACTCCTGTTTATAGCCCCAACAGCATATAGACATTCCGGATTAGTGAACACCTGCAAATAGAACACTCTCCCAAAGAAGGGCATATTTTCCATCTCTGTGATTTTCCTGGATCTTAGTATCAAGTTCTATATCCAAACAACAAACCGGACAGCTTGATTATTGTAACCACGTCCCCACAACAAGGCTAGACATAGCCCTGTCTTAACCAAGCAATGCGATGTACTGCATTTTTATGTTCAATCGGATTGCTTTAAACTTTGAATAATCAGCCTACTGCGGGCCACTTATTGAAACTGATAGACAAAGCTATAGACAAGGACAACAAAAGGAATTTGGAGGGATCCTATTGGTGGAAGCAGGTGGTGGCAATGGACGTAGGAGGTAGGTAATGGACTGACTAACGGCAACCCACTGAAGACCAGACAGTTATTCCATCATTTTCTTCCTTAGTCTTTAAGAACCAATCCTGTTAACCAATAAGATCACTCCATACTCTCCCTATATCTTCTTTGTCTGTCGCTTTGTCCATCAGTTTCAATAATCGCCCCGCACATAACTAAGGGTATTATGTGTTTAAACATTGAGAGAAAAAATGCCAAGAGGTTCATACTTGAATTTATTCACCAGTCAACCGAGGCTCATAATTTTTTTTTTTTTTTAGGGTTCCTTCAAAATCTTTTACCTTTCGAAATACTTTTAAAATTAATTTATGATAGAAACTTTCAAAAGTTGGATTGGAAGGCTTGGCAAAGAATCTTCTGATTTGGAGTTTTTTTATTTCAACAAAAAATGTTCATGTTTATCGTATGGGGGAATGAACAAGGAAAAGCAAGTGCTTAGATGAACCTTCAAACCAACTTTCGGGGTCTCTTACTCAAAGGACACATCCACAGTGATGATTTATTTATTTATCTTAATTTAAAATAGGAAATACCTTTTCTGCGTATTCTTTTTCTAAGGCAGTTTTCTGAGCCTCCGTATTGGTGTCTACTTCAGCCAGTTCCTTTTCCAAAGTCTCGATTTTATTCTGGTATTCCACTATTGAGTCCTGAAACAACAAAATCATTCTCTGTAGGAATTGTGAACTTACCGGTGGCAAAGCATGAATGATCGATTATCAGTATTTCCCCCTTTGAAGCTATAGTAAAGAATCAATTATCAAGGTGTTCGTTGCAAACACCCTGTTTATCAATCTTTTTTCATTGGTTTAAATGGCAGATCAAATGATTCATTGCAAAGCAGGCCACGCCACTGAACCACACAGTAACAATTTTTATTTGTACAGCTTGTTGTAATCAGAGAGGATAGAGAACTTTGTGGGTAGATTAGTAGCTATGAAGGGCTGCTTTAATTCTTCCTCCTTCTAATTCTCTATTTTTGCTCTTCCTTGACTCCAAAATCGTCCAATTCTCTGACTTTCCTTGACCTCCGAACAAGATTTACACCTTTTCCTTTTCAAAAATGCTGACTTTCGCTTAACTTAGGAATTTCCTTGTTTCGGGATCAAATTATGGAAAAAGGCATTCAGCAGCTGGTTAAAAGATGACAAGCCTTAAAAATGACCAGAGAGAGTAAACAGTTGAAAGATCAATGATATGTTTTTAAGTGATTTATAGAAGCGTCAGAGATTTCCTGACTTTTCCCAAGGGTTTTCTGAATGTTTTATAAGTAATTAGTAGATGCATCAATCTGATGGATGCCAACAGGCAAATTCCAGAGTCACTAATGTTTCTTGAGATTCCTTCCTGGCCTAATCTTTATTAGGTCGTTGTTTTCTCTCAAATAACCTCTTTTTTTTCTGCTTACAACACTATATTGTCTTCTTAGTGCAATCCCTCTACACCTCTCTTTTTATGGTAAAGGGTCTCTTGTATTGATGTAAATTTCAGGGAGAAATAAACAAAAAAAAGTAGATGTGTCAGAGATTTCCTAACTTTTCTCCTGAATCCCCTGACTTTCTCTGTTTTTCATACCGCCAGGAGCCCTGTATTCATAATAGTATAACAAAATAGGATGAATAAAAAAATAATCGGGCCAAATGGACTGCATTTTGCAATTTGGAACTATAGATTCTGGCCCGGTTTAAAAACAACGTATGTGCCATTGGTTTCCCTATGCACATAAGTGTTTTTTCAGATGAGCCAGAGTCTAGAGTTCCAAATTGCAAAATGCAGTCCAAATAAAGGCAACTCTTTGAATCAAGAGCTTAGAATGACCCAAACAATCCACAATGTCTTACAATATGAAATTAAAAACACTGATATCAATCGAGATAAGACTTGAAACATATCTCAGCCTAAAAGAATATTTCTCAGAGCTTCAGTTTCTTTAACGCTGGAGTTAAAATATGACTGAAAATTACGTTATAAAGGTTTACTTGTTTATAGTTTCAAATTAGAAGCCTGTTGGGACACCATATTGCACTGTAAAGTAATGTAATGCAATACAACCACAGATTATTCGAAAGTTGAGAGAGGTAATGATAATTTACTTACTCGCAGTTCTTGCAATTGGAAATCCTTGCTTATTATGTCCTTTTTAAGTTCTACACAAATATCAAACAAATGCTTCAAAGACGCTTTAGCATCGAACAAGGATGATACAGAGTCAAACTTGGCTTTGACCTTGATATCTGAAAACCAAAGGGAGGACAGTAAGCGCACTGAGAAAGACTTTCATGATAAACAATACACAATAATCTGATCTTGATTATGTATCAATTGTATTTGTATCTACAGAATTCTGCTATAAAATCTTTTAAGATTGACTCAGAGGTGAAAAATTTATTTTTTTAGATTATTATCTGACTGTCACACACCTTTGTAACACTATTTTGCTTTGCATTGTTTGTACTAAAGCTAATTTTTCTTTTTCTCTTCTCTTAAAATGTAGCTGAGTATTTCTAGTACTAGTGCTTGAATATTATTTTTTAGTTCAACTAATCCCGTTCTATTTTTTTTTTTTTTTTTTTGCTTTGTCATGGTATGCATTATCCCTGAAGATGACAGTGTAAAGTCGAAAAGCTTCGGTGAATGAAATTATTTCATCAAATACATAATATGAACAGAATATGGCTAATCGACTTTCCTTCCTATCTACAGTAGCAGTTGTTACTGGCTGTCACATTTTGCTGTTCTTAGCATGATTGCTTGGCATCGAAGGGACAAAGTAAGCAAAAATAGTGTGGCAAGCAATCTGTTAATTAGAAAAAATGGTATCAATCCGCCTTTGAATATCTCTCTCCTCCAGGCAAGGGAAGTTACATTACAAGCCTATAAAATCCAGAGAGAGGGAAAAGTTTCCTGTAATTTTACCCTGATTGGATTCAGCAATTTTTTGTTTCAGATCCATTATCTGAGCAGTACGGAGCTCATATTCCTCTTCATTTCGTTGGATTTCGACCAAAATGTTATGACGATCTTCTTTCGACATGTTGGAGTCATTCAGCGTGACCTGGAAAATCATTAATAACACGTACATCAGTGTTTTTTCATCTAATATCTCAACAAGCCAATTTTCTACAAAAACTACAGAATTCAGTGGTTTTTAATCATGTTCTACCACTTAAATTTGGTAGAGAACACATTACTCTCCGATTATCAGAAATATCATCTTTGATAGGAAAGTTCATTTGATGTTTTGTATCATTGAAAAGATGATTTTCTTTAAACTTTAAATGAAATGAAGGACTATGGCCCTCTCATATAAGCCCATAGAGTCATTTGCACCAACCATAACTTGAAAAGAGGGTTATTCATATAGGCGAAAAATGTACCCAGCCCGGAATGTACGAAACTTTGTAGGCTGATAGTACTAGTTGGACTGCATTTTGCAATTTGGAGCTATAAATTCTGGCTCTTCTGGAAAAACACGTACATGTATGAGGAAACTAATGGCACGTACGTTGTTTTTAAACCGGGCTAGAATTTATAGTTCAAAATTGTAAAACGCAGTCCAGTTGAGAGAGGCTTATCCCTAGCTCCGTTTTTGCAGGAACCCCAGGGAAACAGCGTT